CAGTCTGAGCAGGATTACACAAATCAAAAGCTCATCAAACGAGTTCTGTCTGTCTAGTAAGAATTTTAGCAGTCAGGGACAAATTATTTGCACATGAGTCAACCTTTCAAACACTCTGAAAACCATCCATAGATAGATTTTTTTTTGGCTGTTAATGTTTCTGATTTGGGCAGTTATTACAGTTGGGACCAAGCCATTTTGTTTCCCATTAGTTCCTCTAATAGTGTTCTGCATGAATGTGTTATTGTGTTTCTGCATTCTCGGAAATGTTGTGTAGTTTGTTATTTTACTACGTTTTGCATGCAGGATTTTAATGTTGCCTATAATAGCAGATATTATAATTTGCCGCTCGGGCAAGTTACTGCAAGAATGTATGACTCTGTGGTCACCTCATCTAACACAATGACCATCTCTAAAGACAAACATATGCTGCAGTCTGATCCTGGCATTAGCATGTATAGGCTCAGGGTATACAGCCCATATTCCTTTTGATGCTGGAAGCACAAACTGGTATGTCTGACCTTTGTCACAGTTTTTGTTTTTGCTCTTAGCTTTCATGCCACTATTTCCCACTAGCCCCACCCCACCCAACCCATATATCACCACAGCATTATAGCACTCACAGTAATAAAGCAAAGTCAGGCAGAGGTGCAGAAAGCTAATTTACTGCAGTCACTGCAGGGTGATGTTATGGGGCGAGGGATGAATGATAAATACAGAGTCATACGATCTCTCTGTCATTATGTCAGAAACATTAATAATGCCTCAGAGGCAGTGGAATACATCTAAATAAAGATAGAGGGTAATGAAGTGTATCACTGGATTGAGGGGAGTTAATGAATTTGTTGCGACAAGGAAGAAATAACATAGTTGAAATGGAGCCTGTGACTCATGTGAATGTGACAAAATGAGTAAAAATGTTAAATTCAGTCCTGGAAGAGCATTTGCTGCGCGTCATTGGCAGGGTTGTCCTTTCGGAGGGGCGGAGGTTGGTGTCAGTGGTGGTAATTCTGCAGTGAAAACAGGGTTTTAGATTACATGGTGAAGTAGGAATGTGCTGGGAGCCAGGAAAGGCAGGCAAGCCTGCACCACCGCCACCACCAACATCTGGACACATTAGACTGGGACTGAGGGTGGGTATGTCTGTGAATGTACCCTGAGGAACAGATTATGTTTGTAGTTGGTACAGTTAGACTGTATTGGTTTCCAACTGTTAACAAATTAAAAATGAGCTCAGGGAACACTGTATGATTATGAGGAACAATATGGTCACTACATAATGCAGATATAGTAGTAGTAGTACTAGTAGTAGAAGATAATAGTAGTAGGCCTGTATATTAAAGGTTTTTCGACTGTCAACTATGCCAGATGGGGAACGTGTTTTTATTGACATCTAGTGGTGAGATTGCAAATTGCAAACAACTGAAATCCCTTGACTTAACCTAGTGTGTAGCAGAAATTGTGGTGGCCACAGAGCTTGCAAAACTTAGAAAAGTCTCTAGAGTTTGATTTGATTGATTGTTGATTTTCCGTTTCTGGGCTACTGTAGAAACATGGCGGACTCTGTAGAAGAGGACCCGCTCCCTCGGTAGATTAAAATGTCTCATTCTTAGGTAACTCACTGTTATCTACTCTGAAGATCAGTCACACCATCAGACCATCAGGTCAGACATACAAGATTATTTGGAGCTTCTTACACCTTCACACAGCTCTAACATATCATTTCAGAGTGAGCATTAATAAAACATACATTTTGCATGATAGAAACATCAAGCTACTGCTACAATGTAAAGTAAGCTCTGCAAGTAGGCAGCAGGGACTCCAGTCCATTTTATTTTTAAAGTGATCCTGTTGCCTTGTTGACTGACATCTGCAAATAAGATTGTATTCACTGATATCAGTGGCTGATGTGTTGTGTCGCATTCATTTTAAGCTGGTTAAATGTTATGTTGGTTGTTTACAACTTATATAGATTGGATATTGGAGAAATAATCACCTCTGTTTTCCAGCACTGGTCCAAATTGAAACAAATACCTATTGATGTGCCAGTGAGCGGCACTCACAGGTACTGAGTACTGACACTCCTGATTTTTGTACATTTGTACCCTTGTTTCTCATTGCGTACCCCTACCTACTGTTAATCTAAGTATGTACCCCGAAACACCTATGTCACACTTGATTGATTGATTTTTTCCACAACAACATTCCACAAAGACCCACCCTATCCTGCCTCTGATTAGCTAGTGTTGGTTGCCTTTGTTGGTTTGGTTGGTTAGGCTCGGCATGAGGGGTGAGACATTTAGGGTTAGAAAAAAATGTCAGGGTTATAGTGCTTCTGCTATTGATGTTACTAATTGTCTGTGCTTATGAGCTTTTGTATGTTTTCCTGTAATGTCCTTTATGTGTCATATGGCTCTGATATATATGAGACATTAATATGGCCATTGTGTTACTACTGTTTGTCCCTCTGTGCTTTTTTTGTTTCTGATATGCCACCAACCTGCCAGTTCAGGCACTGGACCACTGTATTATTGGAAGCTACACTGTAAAAAAAAAACCCATTGCTGGGGTGCCAAAAAATACAGTCATGTTCTATAATTAAAATACAGTTTATAGCTTTCATTTTACATAAAATCTTGTGTAATTTTGTAGCTTTTTAATGTTTAATTAAAGATATTTACACATGTAAAAACAATGAAATTACCTATAAATACATGCAAACACTGCTATAATCAGGCTTAAATAATACAGAAGAGAGCTGTTAGTATTTGATATTTGATTCTTTGAATGGAATGGAGTTGTAATAAAGTTCATTATCTGTGAAATTACAGTAATTATTGCTGTTTTCAGTGATAAAAACTGTATTTTAAAAGTATACCAATGCTTATACGCTGATGAAATTCAGTTCAGTTTTTGTTGTGAGGTAGATATCAATTACCAAATCCATGGAAAATTACTTTTTCTGTTGTCACTAATTTTACATAATTTTAGAACTGTATTACCAGTATTAAACCTGATTTTGATATATTAAATAAACAGTCAGTATCTGCAAAATTATAGATTTGCAAATGTATTCTTTTTATATGATATTATTTCTTGAAAGTTTTTTTACAGTTTCAAGTTTGTCATCTTATTTTACATTACACATATCAATTCACAGGCTATTTTTGGAATTTTATTAATATTTCCATGCATTTAAAAAACAGGAAAAAAGATCTGTAAAATAAATGGGGAAAACCCTGTAAAGTTACTTTTATTTTTTACAGTATATGCAAATGTATCACATGTTTCTTTTCTTGAATTAAATGTGTATGTGACAGTTCCAGCAGAACTTTCTTTCCTACATTGATAGATTAGGACAGAAATAAGTATCTGTGGTCACAAAGTCTACAATATTCATGAAGTATGGGTGATATCTGCTGGTGGTGACCACACTGTCAGTACAGTGCGCTAAACAAGTGAACCTGTGTCCAAACTCAATGATGTTTGGATTTTGCTGTGGAAATCCACAAGAGCTCAGGAGAGTAAGTTTAGCAGAGCTGCTTCAGACAGAGTTTTTTTTTTTTGCAGGGATGTAATTGGACATCTGGTTTATGAGCTCAGTGGTCATATTCTGCACTGATTAAAAGCAGTAAATCTGTGTTACTGGGATCATGTTTCAACCAAAGCTGCTGAGTAACACTGATGTCATTGTAAGAACAGAGGTCAGTGACTCTTTGTTCACAGTTGTCCAGGCTTAATAGACTTTTTTTCTTTTTTTTGTCAAATTCGGTGTTTAGATCATTTGCTTTACATTGACTTTTCTTCACAGAAGTGAACCAGATGCTGAGATATAGGCCTACTGTGTACATTTTTCTAGCAAGCCTTAAAATCAATAAGGCCTCATGATCCCCCATAAGGCTTTGGCGATCCTTAGTGGGACTCCTGACCTCCAGGTCTCTTAAAGATTGAGTTATACAGCATTTTTTATGCTGCCACAGACACCCATTTTGTAATACTGCAAATACGTATTATAATACTTTCATTAGTGGGCCACAGACCCAGTCACCATTGTAATTTCTAATTTGAATGATATATATTTAAATCAAAATCTTCAAGATTGCCACTTTAACCCAAGGTCCACTTACTAGTTTTTTTTTTAAGAGCTTTCAACCACATCTCTTTATCAACCGACGTTAAACATCTTTTTAACCACATTCTTTCCCATTTTCATTTCTACATTCTCTCTTTTGTGTTGGCTTCAGACGTGTGTATGTAGCACTTTATGTTGAGGTAAAGGAAAGGAACCATCTTAGTTATGCTGCTATAGGCCTAGACTATCAGGGATTTCCCATGGTGCACTGAGCTCCTCTCTTCCTCTCTCTCTCTTTCTGCACTCATT